CAGGTCCTGATGGATTCACTGCTGAATTTTACAAGACATTTAGAGAAGAACTACTGCCATTACTCTTCAAACTTTTAAATGAAATTGAAAGCGAAGCAATACTTCTAAATTCATTCCTGGAGGCAAGTATCACTTTGATTCCCAAACCAGGGAAAGATGAAACTAAAAAAGAGACCTAAAGGCCAATCTCCTTAATGAATATACATATAAAACTCCTTAATAAGATATTAGTAAACAGAATACAGAGGATTATCAAGAAGATCATACATCCTGACAAAATTGGGTTTTTTCCAGGGATGCAAGGATGGTTCAACATACGTAAATCAATAAATGTAATACACTATATTAACAAAGTCAAGGACAAAAAACATGATCCTCTCGATAGATGCAGAAAAAGCATTTGACAAAATTCAACACACATTCATGATAAAAACCCTACAAAAATGGAATAGATGGTCTATATATCAACTTTATAAAGGCTATCTATGAAAAACCAACAGCCAACATCATATTAAATGGCCAAAAACTGAAAACCTTCACGTTAAAATTAGGAACAAGACAAGGATGCCCACTAACACCACTCCTCTTCGATATAGTTCTGGAAACATTAACCATAGCAATTAGACAAGAGAAAGAAATTAAAGCAATAAAGATAGGAAAGGAAGAATTTAAACTGTCATTATTCGGTGATGATATGATACACTACATTGAAGACCAAAAAAACTGCACCAAAAGACTTCTAGACTTAATTGACAGATTCAGTAGAGTAGCTGGATATAAGGTGAACACCCCAAAATGAATAGCCTTCTTGTACACAAATAACAGACTCACTGAGAGAGAAATTAGGCAAAAAATTCCTTTCACAATAACTTTCAAAAAAATGAAGTATCTAGGAATCAATCTAACAAAAGATGTAAATATCTCTACTCTGAAAACTATAGCACTCTGAAAAAAGAAATTGAAGAGAATATACAAAAAAATGGAAAGATATGCCCTGCTCCTGGGTAGGAAGAATCAACATAGTGAAAATGGCCATACTACTAAAAATGCTGTACAGATTCAAAGCAATGCCAATTGAAATTCCAATACTGTACTTCACTGAGCTAGAAAGAAGAATCCAAAAATTCATTTGGATAGTGCATATATATTTACAATTGTCATATGTTCCTCTTGAATTGCTCCCTTTAGAAGGATGTAGTGGCATTCATTGTCTTTTTTAATCAGTTTTGGTTTGAAATTTACTTTGTCTGCAAATAAGATTGCTACCCCTGCTTTTTTCTGAGCCCCTGTCACATGAAGAATTGTTTTCCATCCTTTCACTATCAGTCTGTGGGCTTCTTTTTTATATTTGGTGTGTTTCTTCTATATAACATATTGTTGTATTTTGCTTCTTAATCCATTCTGCCATTCTATTTCTCTTGATTAGTGAGTTGGGGCCATTGACATTGATGATTATAACTGATATATACTGACTTATTATTGTCATGTTATTGTCCTTTTGTTGACACTTTTTTCTTTTTCACCTTCTCCTTTTAGTTTCTTTCCTTGCCTATGTGATTTGCTCTGTTGGGCCTCATGCTGTTCTGACCATCACTGTCTGTTTCTAGAATATTGTTTAGAATTCCCTGTAGTGCTGGTTTGGTATTTATGAAGTTTCACAGGTGTTCTTCGTCATGAAAGTATCTTATTTAACCAACCATTTTGAAAGAGAGTTTTGCAGGATCCATCAGTCTAGGTTGGAGGTTGTTTTCTTTCAGTACTTGAAATACCTCACTCCAGGCTCTCCTTGAGCTAAGGGTTTGTGTTTAAAGGTCTGTTGTGATTCTGATGGTCTTTCCTTTGCATGTGATTTTTTTCTTTTCTTTTACTGCTTGTAGTATTTTGTTCTTCTGTTGGTTTTCTGGGATCTTGATTATTATTTGTCTAGATGCAGATTTTTTTTGATCGTGGCTAGTTGGGTTCTTATATGCCTCACTTATCTGAATGTCAAATTCTTCCCCTCTGTTTGGGAAGTTTTCTGTCATTAATTCTGTGAACAGCTTTTTTAAGTCATTTGTATTTTCTCATGCTACTTCGTGGATTCCTATCAGTTTTATGTTATTCTTCTTTGTGTCATCTAGGAGTTGTTGGATCGATTTCTCATGATCCTCTACTGTTCTTAAGAGGCCTTTCTTTTCACAATCACTGACTGCAATCTTATCTTTTATAACTGAGATTCTAACTTCGCATTCTTTTATTCTGTTGCATACACTTTCAATGGAGCGTTTAATCTCCTGGATATCTGTTTGAATCTGTTTTATGGATTCCATTTCTTTCCTCTGTTGGGCATTCATTGTTTCTATTTCTTTCTTATGCTGAGCCTTCATGGCTTCTATTATGGTCCTGAGCTCATCTATTTTTTTGTCAGTTTCTGTTGTAGAGTCTTGAAACATGACTTTCACTTTGCTCACCATCTCTATGTTTATCTGGGAAATTATTTCTGTTCAACCATCCCATCTTTAACAAAGGAGCCAAACACCCTCACTGGAGGAAACATAGCCTCTTTGAGAAATGGTGTTGGAAAAATTGGGTTTCAAATTGCTAAAGATTAAAATTAGACCTATATCTCTTACCATGTACTGACTTAAAATCAAAATGTGTTAAATATCTAAATATCAAAACAGAATCACTAACCTGGCTTGAAGATATTGCCTTAGAAAATATTTCAAGAACAAAACCTCAGTTACAGATGAACTAGCACAATCAACAAATGGGATCTCTTCTTAACAAAATGCTTCAGCACAGCAAGAGAAATGAGCAACGGTGTGAAAAAACAACCCACAATATGGGAAAAAAATTTTCACCAGCTGTTCCTCAGACAAGGGTCTACTATCCAGAATATATAAAGAACTGAAAAAAACCATACCTCCTAAATTTAAAGACAAAATCCAAAAATGGGCATCTGAAATGAACACACATTTCTCAGACAAAGAAGTAGAAATAGCAAAGAAACATATGAAAAAATGTTCAATATCAGTGGCCATTCAAGAGATGCAAATGAAAACAAGGCTGAGAATCAACCTTTCTCCAGAAAGTATGGTTGCTATCATGAAATCAACTAAAAATAATTGCTGGTGGGGATGTAGGCAAAGAGCAACCGTGATCCACTGCAGGTGGGAGTGTACACTGGTGCAACCATTGTGGAAGTCTGTATGGAAATCCCTCAAAGAAGTAGGATTGGAAGTTCCATTTCAGCCAGTTGTTCCCCTGTTGTGCATGTTCCTCAAGGAGTTAAAAAATTGTACCTCAGTAATGTATGTTCACCCATGTTCATAGAAGCACAATTTGTAATAGCTAAAACTTTGAAACAGCCCATTTTCACATTAACTGGAGACTGGATAAAGAAAATTTGTTTTTTTTTTAATAAAATGGAGTAATACTCAGCCATAAAAATGAGAAATTAGAGAACTTCATTGATAAACAGATGCACATTGAGGGAATATTCTTAAGTGAAATAAATAGGACAAGTGGAAACACTGAATAGTTTTTCTCTTGTAGAAACTGAAAGTGTAAATAAGGACTAAAAGGTATAATAGTTAATGTGAAATAGGAAGAAAAGGTGCAAAGGGCAAGGGGAAATGGGAGAGGTGGTGGAAAGGAAAGAAGGGAATGGAAGTATTATGAGAAAATTAAAAAATGGAAACAAACTCTGTGTAGATAGGAAGGGAGCATTTGAAGGGAGGACAGGGGAATGGGGAAAAATAAGAACCAACATGGATTATGTAAAGGTGAAAATTTCCAATGATTAATATTATTATACTATATACTTTAAATGTACCCATAAAATTAATCTAAAAAACCCTAAATGGGAAATAATCACTCAAATTTTCCCAGGAGTAAGATCCCTGCAACCACTAAAAGACATTAGGCTCCTCTTCATATAACAAGTCTCCAGTTCTGCTCTGACTAGTTAGAAAAAATCACCAGAAATAGACACTGGTAGTCTCTCTAATATCCCCTTTTGCTTCAACAAGCTCCTGACAGGTTCACCAAGCTCTCTTCTGTTAAACAGGCAGCCCAATGTTTCTCCATATATACACACTAACTCCTCTCTCATTGTCTTCAGATAGGTTTCCCCCTCAGCCCAGCCATCATCCTAAATTAGAGAGTATATAATCCCCAATATGTAGGGCCTACAATTCTTTTCAGCAAGATGGAGCTTTATGAAGATAGAGACCTCCACTCCCTCAGCAGCCTATAAAGAATTATGAGGATTCATATCTCTCCAGGGGAAACCAGGCAGGCAATTAGGGCATAGCAGTGCATGGGACAATTGGGCATGATCCCTTAATCATAGAGACCTATTAATCACAGAGATTCAGGACCCATGCATAGAACAGAGTTTCAGTCCTGCACCTGATAGCAAGAAGAGAATGCTGTCTTCAATTCTTCTGGTATGAGATCAAGCCAAGACCTGCACCTAATATCACTCTTCTGGCATAAGATCAAGTGGGGTTTTGATAGCATGGCTGACATTTGATGTCAGAGCAGAAACAATGAAGGATTGTGTTCATTAAGCTCATGGCTTCTGTGAGCCTTGTCACCAGCCCACCATACACTCATCAAAGCAAACTTCTTTCCTGCTTTAAGTGGCACACACTCACTCTGCAGAACTCTTGTTTTCACAATACTTTTGCTTTTGAGCATTTCTATTGTGCTTCTTTTTCTTGTTCTTTTCCCCTGAATAAATATTAAACTGTCATATTCATCAATAGTCCCATCCAGTTATTTCAATGGAACAGTAATAATCTGGAAAGGCTACTTGCTCATAACAATACCTGAAAACTGGTATACATACACACATTCACACATACAATCTACATCTATTGTACATCTATGTAGAAAAGTGTGGATTTACACTGAAATATCCCATTCCAGTCTGACTTTACAACATTTGTTCCAGTTTTCTCTCCTTCTCAGGTAGTGATTCCCCTCACCAATAGTGAAAAACCAGGCTTCCATTATCATTGGTACATTTATTTATTTGATAGATTCTTTTTCACAGAGCCAACTTCCATCCATCCCTTCTCACCCATAGATGCCTCCTTACTACACTCGGGTTCTCCACAGCCTATTTAGGCAATGGCTGCTAGTGCCAGGACACCTCTTGGTGTGCACCCTTTCCCACCTTGCTGGGAGCTATCAGATCCATGCTAGGCTTCCCTTGCACATGGATATGTTCTTATCGACCTTGGTCTGACCTGGACCCACCATGACTCTTTCTTCCAATCCACTCTGTGGCCATCATGTTGTGCCTTACCTACTGGATTTAGGAGTGGATTACACAGAAAGGGCAGAAAAAGAGCAATAAAGAAGAATGAAATCTCTATGACTACTGTTGCTAAAGGAACTGGGAAAATTCTTTCAGTGTTGCCCCCAAATCACCTGATCAAAAGCTGGTTTGTATTTCCTGTTGTTGTTTAATTTTGATTGTATTAAGGGATCAGGGAGTTGAAGACAGAATACAAAGAGGTATAAGGAAATATGTTTCTAGGGCTGAGGATGTAGCTTGATATTAAAGTGCATACCTAGCACATTCATGTGTTCCATTCCTAGGAAGGAAGGAATGAAGGAAAGGAGGAAGGAAGGAAAAAAGGAAGGAAGGAAGGACATTTGTCTGCTTCCAGAAATATCTGGGAAGATGATGCTAAATCAGAACTAATAAAGTAATTAATGCATCATTTGAGTTTCATAAAAACATATGCATCACAATGGTAGAATTAAATCATGGATATACTTTCCAAACAATGGTAAAAATCAGAGGAATAACACCCACCTATCTTGGTAAGCAAATGAGATCAGAGAAAGGGCCCACAAGACCAGTGACTATGATGACTGAAAATCATTTCTGGTTCTCTATGTTCTCTAGCTTCCCTCTTAATGTTCATTAAAAAAATCATATATTATCAAAAGATATTTTTGTTCACATTTTTAAATAATAATTTTTTCAAAATATTACATATATTCCATACAAAGTTTACACTAAAGTCACAGCAATAATTCTCATTTTCATTAAAAATTGTTGATAAAATTAGTGAAAAGTGCTTCCTCATATCAGAGCTCAAATGGAATTGATGGTGCCCTCTATGCATAGAAGGAGATAGTCTTGTGAGAAACTATGAAAGTGAATGTACAGGTATGACACTCATTTACTCACAACAGATACAATCTAAACAGATATGGACCAAGTCCAAAGTGTGTACTGATTCCCTAAGAGTTTTTCAAGAGCAGTTTATTAATCTAATCTTCATATCGGTTTTATTCAACAGTAAATTAAAGTCTCCCTAAAGAACACAGCAGAAATTTCCAGGGAAGATCAGACTCCTCTTATGGCCTCATTTCTTGACACAACCTTCAGAATAATGGGTTTTTTTGGCTTAAGAATAGCTTCTGCACCTAATATCAGAGGGACCTGAAAATATTGAATAAGGATATTTAAAAGCAATAAATGAAAAATCAATAATCACAGAATCAAAATGGAAATGATACATTCAAACAATAATGCTTTCCAAACACGTAAAAATCAGTTCTAAATAATTAATCTTGGATTTCTTAAATATAATCTCTAAGCTATGTCAAGATCTGAGAGTGACTTTTATTGGTACATTTTAGGTATTCATTATTGGAGATTTGTACCTTTTCATAGTATATATTGATTCTTGATTTCCCCCATATCCTGCCCTCCCTTTAACCCCCCACACTTCCCTATTTACAAAGTCTTTGTTGCCATTTTTCTCATGTTATGCCTGAAATGTACCAATAAAATTAAATTTAAAAATCTGATAGTGAAAGCATTCATCTAAATGTCCATTCAGTAAATTACTGAGCACCTGTATAAGATGCTGAGATAAAATTAGGTTGAATTCTGTGCATTTTTGACCTAAAATTTAAGGGTAAGTTTCAACAATTCTAAACAGATTTTTTCATACTGGAAAACTGTCTTTGAATTTTATGTTGTTAAAACTTTCAAGATGATCATAAGTAGGTATTTTTTGTACATTTCAATATTTTTTCAGTACTCAATTCTAGAGTTTAATGCTGAAAAGCCTTTAGGAGACATCATGCTTCTGATTCATTACATTTCATCTTGACTCCCCAAAAAAGTACGGATAGGGAAAGTCTCAATTCTGCAGCACTTGGACTAATTCTCAGCCATATTATCCATTCTTCTCAGTGAGTAGGTCAGAGCCTTAGAGTAAGTTTCTTATATTAGTAGAGCAAATGGCATGCTTTCTAACTTTTATCATGGATATTGAAAAGTTCTAGCTTGTAGATGACAAGGAGCTTAGCAGGGAGGATTTGCTCCTTCCAAGGCATGCCAAAGGCCTGCTTTCTCCCTAGACTATTTCTATCTGTAGACATTTACAGGACACCTACATAGCTCCCCTAAAGCCAAAATATGAGATAATCACCACCACTACCCTGCTTTTCTCCCAAGAAGAAAGTCTGCTCATAGAGAGGTTGCATATTACATGCAGTCACAACTTCAGATTAACTTTATCAGTCATTGTTCATATTATTCAGTCACTGTTATTTTTTAGGAGAGGTATTTCAAGTCTTATATATACACCAGCTTATGATTTTACCCTACTATATAGTTTCCCAGGAAATGGACAGATATATAAACACACACATGCACATGTACAAATAACATTTATTAAACTTTTTCTTCTTTTTTTTTGTACCAGGCATCAAACTTGGGTCCTTGCACTTCCAAAGCAGATGACACAACTACTGAGATAAATCCCTGGCCCTAAATTTTTTAAATTAAAATAATCTGTAACTGGTATTAAGACCTCCAGTATAACAACAAATGATTCTTCAGCATTCTCTGAATGCTTGCAGTGGGCAAACTCTGCAAAACCACATTGGGAGTTTATAGAAGGAATAAAATGAGGTACTATAGAAGGAAGAAGGATATTCACCCATATATATATAAAAAACTAGAGAAACAAATTCTGTGGTTTAATGGCAAAGTATTAATGTAGGTAGTGATAACATCTTGCAGCACTCATTAGCGGAGCAGAGGAATAAATGGGTCATAGTCAAAATGGATAAGGCATTGGGATTAGGATTTGAAGATAAGAACACAACAAGGAGGAGAATGACATGAAGATCCCTGTACTTATAATGAGATTGTAAAAACTACATAGTTTATCTGGAGCAGATCTCATGAAATATGTTCTCAAATAGCTAGGTTATCTCTGAGTGGTGGAAGTCATTTAGGATATCTAAAATTACCTAGGACTGAGGATACTTTTAATATCCTCATGGATTTCAAGGTAGAGCCAGGGATTGAGATCCACTGTCACATGAGAGCTTCTTTAAATTCTAGTAAAGGAGAGTACCACTCAGGCACCATGCTGAAATGAATACTTCAGTTTATAACTTTTGCACAATGCATCCATCTCCACTTCACTTGAAACTGGAATATAAGACTTTGAATTTAAATGTATGCTATACCTCAAAAGAACTACACATAGCCCTATCAAACAAATTTGCATAAACTCTACATGATCTTTATAGCTCTGCTTTATAATTGCACACAGATTTACAGCACCACAACTCAAATACCCTTCAATTTTGTATGATTAGATCATATAGATCAAATAGATCCTCTTGCCATTGAACGAATTCTGAAAAAGTCAATAAGCATGTTCAGTTTTGCATTTAGACATATTTGTTTTTTTAAAAAACACCGCATAATAAAGCACTGTTTATAAAGAAAGTTAATTGACTGACCTGTGTTTCTTTACAAGGTTGGAAGGAGAAGTTCTGCAGAACTCGAATGATAGCAAGTTTGATGTTCATGAGAGCAAACCGCATGCCAATACAATTCCTGGGTCCATTCCCAAAGGGCATGTATATGTAAGGGTCAATGTTCTCCTTGTTCTTCTTACTGAACCTGGTGGGAAATAGTAGATGAAAACAATTGCAGTGAGGGATAGGTGGGGAAAGACACAGAAAATACAATTGAGATATGTTCTTATGTACACAACCTTCACATGATAAATATAATCACTGTGCACTGTGAACATGGAGTAATACAAATTTAAATATAATCACAAGAACTAAAGACAAATCAAACAAGTGAATTAAACAAATGCATAGGAGTTACAGCCTTGGATTTCTCAGCTAAACCCCTCCACGAAGAGTATACATGATATTTTGTGGGATGCTCATTGAAATCCTGCTATAGTTACTTCACTGTAAGCACTACACCCCAAAGATCCTTTCCACTACTCTTACCATTTAGGAGATTATAGTCCTGTTAAGATGAGATTGGGTGAATGTTGTGTGAGAGAAAATAAATCTCTAAACACTAAAATCTCATTCTAGTTGATGATATTTTTCTACTTTGAAGGCATATAGGAATTAGGCTAAATGACAAGAAAGTGTGTTCCCACCTCCACTCAAACTTATGTTAGTCAGATGCTCATTGATAAAGGAGGAGGAGAAATGAGTTTTCCCTGCCCTTCTCATCTCCTCTCTCTTCTTTTTACATCAGTTTCATCATGATTATTGTTTACCACCTCCTCCTCCTTGTCATTTCCAAAACTCCTCCTTTTCTCTCCTGCTCCACAGAGCAGTGAAAGTCAGATTATATACAAGGACAAAGGATGATTCTCTACTCTATTAATATTAATAACTTGCTTGTCTATCTCTCCCACTAGGCTAAAAATTATCTAAAGTTTAGAGCCCTGTATCATTCAAATTTGATTTGTCATTATCACATTATATAAATAAAAATATTGATTTAGAAACCATGATAACTGTGGCTCTAGAGAAAAATCAAAGCATATTTAGTATCCTAGATAACTATAGAGATGGAGACCAGAATGAAAGACATGTTTAGTGATTCTAGAATATATACAGATTTTTTTTAAAAAAGAGAGGACCTCAGGAACATGAAGGAAACAATGAACTCCTAGAATATGAAAGAAATGGAAACAATGAACACACAGCATAGGAAAGAAAAGGAATCCATGAAACAAATTTAAACAGATATCCAGATTAAAAATTTGAGATTAAATATTCCAGGGTATAAAGAATGAGAAAATAGATTCGTTAATAGGAAAATGGATACATATTGAAGATATACTCCTAAGTGAAATAAATGAGGTACACATGTGTAATACCGAATAGTTTCTCTGGTGTGAATAATCTGCAATGATACATAAGATCCTAATAAGATTACTGACATTTAGAAATGGGAAGAAAGGACCTAAAGGTGTAGGAAAGGTGGGATGGGTAGGGGAAGAGTAAAAAAGGAAAAGAAAAAAATGTGAGATAATGAAAAGATGGAAATAAGTGTTTGTAGATGGGGAGGGGAGGAGGGGGTGAAGGGAGGGCAGGGACAAGGGGAAAAAATGAGAACCAAGACTTGTCATGTAGAGGTACAAGATCCCAACAATGAATGTAACTGTACTGTATCCCTAAAATGTACCAATAAACTCAATTAAAGCTGAAAAAAATTTCCAGAGTATAAGCGCCAGAATGAGCCAATATGAGGACAGAATATCAGGTATAGAGGATAGGATTGTGGTTACTGATCTCAAAAGAGAGATTTCTTAAAAATAACAAGGAAACATGATAAATCAATCCAACAGCTATGTGATGATGTAAAGAAGAATAACGTAAGTTTGATTGGAGGCAATGAGAAATCAGAAGATAGGGCACAGAACATTAAAAAATTGTTCACAGAAGTAATGGCAGAAAACTTTCCAAACAGGAGGAATTTCCCATACACATAAGTGAGGCTTATAGGACTCCGATGAGCCATGATCAAAAAGTTTACACATAGGAATATAATGGTCAAGATCCCAGAAATTCAATAGAAGAATGAAATATTTAAATCAGTTAGAGAAAAGAAACAAATCATATATAAGAGAAAGCCCATCAGAATCACATCAGACTTCTCAAAACAAACCCTCAAATTAAAGAGAGTCTTGAGTGAAGTATTTCAAGCCCTAAAAGAAAACGAACTCCAACCCAGATTGATGTACACTGCAAAACCATCTTTCAAAATCATTGGAGAAATAAGATACTTTCATGACAAAGAACTCCTGAGGAACTTCATGAATATCAAAGTAGCATTCCAAGCAATTCTAATTAACATCATAGAAAAAATAATGAGGACTAAAACACCACAAACCCCAAAAGAATGAAGCCATTGGGCATCACAGTAAATTAAATGCAAAGGTGGAAATTTTTTAAAAAAAGAGCCAAGAACAAGAAAATATCATGACAATAAGTCAATACATATTTGTTATAAACACCAGTATTAATGGTATCAATTCACCAATCAAATAAATAGACTGGCAAAATGGTTCAAGATCCAAAATAAGCTGCATACAATAAACACATGTAATTAAAAAAGAAATTCATAGATAGAAAATCAAAGGATGGAAAACAATACTCCATGCTTTGGAAAAAAGCAGGGGTAGCTATCCTATTTGCAGACTAAGTGGATTTAAGTCCAAAACTAATTAAGAGAGATAAAGAATGTCACTGCATCTCGGTAAAGGCAATAACCCAAGAGGAAGAAATGACAATCATAAATGTATATGCACTAAATTTGATTTCACCCAGCTATGTAAAACAAATATTGACATGAAAACTTGAATAAGTACTAATACAATATCCCCTTGTCACAAATAAATAAAACAGATAAAACTTCAACAAAAAATACTATAACTGAATCAAAATTTTAAAGAAATAGAGTAAATAGTTATCTACAGTGTTCCACACCACAAAATAGAAAAGCCACTCTTCTCAGATGCACACAGGTCTTTCTCCAAAATAGACCACATATTACCTCATAGAACATGCTTAAGTAAATACAAAGGAATTGAAGCTATCCTCTGGAGATTGTCAGATCATAGCACAATGACATTGGAGATAAATAGCAAAGGAAACCAAAACAAATTCATAAACACATTAAAATTGAATAACACCCTTCTGAAATATGAATGGGTCACAGAGGAAATTAAAGAAAAATTAGGCAACTTCTACAATTAAATGATAATGCAAATACAACATACCACAATTTATAAGACACAATGAAAGTAGTCCTACAAGGAACATTCAGAGCACTGAATGTCCATATTAAGAAAACAGAGCTAGCTCAAATAAGCAACCTAATGATGAACCTCAGGCTTCTAGAAAAAGAAGAGCAAGACAAACCCAAAGCTCATACGAGAGGAAATTATAAAGATCAGAGCAGAAATAAATACAGTGGAAACTAAGAGAATGACCCAGAAAAGCAACAACTGAAAGTGTTCAAAGAAATCCCTAGTCAACCTTATCAAAATAAGGGAGGACTAGTGATTTAGTTAATAGTACTTCCCCTGCCTCCCAAGCACAAGGTCCTGAGTTATATCCCCAGTACCACAAAAAAGAAAGAAATGAATGAAATCTATGCAACTAGGAATTAAAAGTGAAAAATTATAACACATTCACAGAAATCTAGAGGGTCATCACTACTAACTTTGAGTACCTGTACTCCAATAAAATGGAAAACACAGAAGAAATGGACAGATTCCTAGATACGTATAAGTCACCAAAGTAGAACCAAGAAGATATAAAAATTCTAAACAAACCAATAACAGTCCATGAAATTGAAAATTTTGTTTTTGTTTTTGGTACAGGGGATTGAACTCGGGTCCTTGCGCTTGTGAGGCAGGCCACCAAACCACTGAGCTAAATCCCCAGCCCTGAAATTGAAAATTTTATTTAAAACTTATCAACAGAGAAAGGCCCAGGTCCTGGTGGTTTCACTGCTGAATTCTACAAGAAATTTAGATAGGAGCTAATGCCACTACTTTTCAAACTCTTAATGAACTTGAAATGAAAACAATACTCCCCAAAACATTCCTAGAAGCAAACATTGTCTTGATTGTGAAAGCAGAGAAATACCCAACCAACAAAGAGAGCTACAGACCAAACTCCCTAATAAACATAGATGCACAAATCTTTAATAGGATACTCATGAACAAAATGCAAAATATAATCAATGTCATACACCCTGACCAAGTGGGATTCATCCCAGGGATGAAAGGATGGTTGAACATACATAAATCAATAGATGTAATGCACTGTATTAACAGAGTCAAAAACAAAAACTATATAATTATCTTAACAGATGCATAAAAAGCGTTTTTACAAAGTCCAATGGCCATTCGTGATTAAAAAAAAACTTCAGAAAATTGGAATAGATGGTATTTATCTCAACCTGATAAAAGCCGTGTATAAAAAACTAACAGCCAACATCATACTAAATGGCCCAAACAGAAATCATTCACACTAAAATCAAGAACAAGAGGATTCCACTATTACAGCTCCTATTCAATATAGCTCTGGAAACATTAGCCACAGCAATTAGACAAGAGAAATAAATAAAAGAAATAAAGATAGAAAATGAAGTTCAATTGTCATTATTTGTGAATAACATGATATTCTATTAAGAACACTCCAAAAATTCCTTGAAGGATTTTGAAATTTAATAACAAAATTCAGTAGATTAGCTCGATACAAGGTCAACATTCAAAAATCAATAATATTCCCGTACATGAATAACAGATACATTGAGAGGGTATTTGGGAAAGAATTCCTTTCATAACAGCATGCAATGCCCAGTATCACCACTCTTCTTCAATATAGTTGTGGAAGTATTAGCCACAGCAATTAGACAAGAGAAAGAAATTAAAGCAATAAAGATAGGAAAGGAAGAAGTTAAACTGTCATTATTTACTGATGATATGATACTCTACATTGCAGACCCAAAAAATTCCACCAACAGATTTCTAGACTTCATTGACACTTTTAGCAGAGTAGCTGGATACAAGGTCAACACTCAAAAGTCAATAGCCTTCTTGTACACAAATAGACTCACTGAGAGAGAAA